GCGGGCCACAGTCCATGGGGTCACAAAAGAGTTGGATGAAACTTAGCAACTAAACAAGAACAATAACGATGAAGTAAACCTGCACCCTAACCCTAAGCAGCTTTGCAAACATCCTCAAACAAAGCTGTTCATGCCATTTGCTTAGTGATGCCACATTTCTCCCAACAGTTTGTTACAGTTCAGTACAGCTAACTGATTTCCGGGACCGTGAAGTTACCACCACCAAATATCTAGTCCCCCCGTGGGAACAATACTGTATCAGGGACTCAGTGTTGGCCTCTGCTGTTGGGCATTCATCACTGACTACATCAGCTTTGTTGAGAAGAAGTCTCTACCATTGAGCCCATGCACAGACTCCAGCCCTGTCATCATGGCCACCTTTCTCATGACTCCACTGAGCTGGGGAAAGAGGCTGACTGGCATGCAGAGGTTGGATCATTATGTTCTATCATTTTTTAAAAAGCCTCTTCTACAATGGGTGCCCCCTGGTGGGCATTCGTAGGAAACACAAATGTTTTCACCATTCCAAGACAATTCATCCTTATACCAACATCCTGGATCTTCTTGTCCCCAGTCTTCTGCTGTCATATTTTCCAAGTCTTTGACCAACCAGAAAGGGGCCTGAGCATGCAGTACGTAGAGATGAGCCTTGCAGGACATTAAGCACAGCAGAAAAGGGAAAAGAACGAATGGAAAGGGGGTCAGGGAAGACAAGGAAAATAAGCAGAAGAAAAAAAAAAGTGCTCCAAGAAACCAATGAGACCTGAAAACCTGACACAGTGCTATGAACTAGGATGTCTTCATGAGGGCACTCTCAAAGGTTTTACTCTGTTTTTCCTTTGGATTATAATTACAGTTATATTTAGCAATGAGTTTTAAGTTTTTCTCCTCTGACTAATTTTCTTTAGCTAATGCCAGCAGATCTGAAAAGTCTCATGTTATTGTTGTTTAGTCACTAAGTCGTGTCTGACTACTTTGCAACCCCATGGACCGTAGCCCGTCAGGCTCCTCTGTCCATGGGGTTTCCTAGGCAAGAATACGGGAGTTGGTTGCCATTTCCTTCTCCAGGGGATCTTTCTGACAGTGGGATCAAACCTCTGTCTCCTGCATTGGCAGGCAGATTCTTCACCACTGAGCCAGAAGGGAAGCCCAAATAGTCTTGTGTAAATGTAAGTATTAGTCGCTCAGTCATGCCCGACTCTTTGTGACCCCATGGACTGCAGCCCACCAGACTCCTCTGTCCATGGGATTCTCCAGGCAAGGATACATATATCCCTACAAATGAAGAGATGTGGGTTTTGCTTTTTTTTAATTGAGCTATACTCGATTCACAATATTATATTGGTTTCAGATGTACAGCATAGTGATTCAATACTTTTATAGATTATACCCCATTTAGAGGAATTACAAAATAATGACATTTCCCTGTGTCATACACTGTATCTGCTACTTATTTTATATATAGTAGACTGTATGTCTTAATCCCATACACCTGTGTTGTCTCTTCCCCTTCCTCTCCCCACTGGTAACCACTAGCTTGTTCTTTGTATCTGTGAGTCTGTTTCTGTTTCATTATATATATATTTGCTTGTGTTAGTTTTTAGCTTCCAGATACAAGTGTTAACAGAGTATTTGTCTTGGTCTGTCTGACTGATTTCACTAAGCATAACACCCTATAGGTCCATCTAGATTGTTGCAAATGACAGAATGTCATTCTTTTTTATGACTAAGTAGTATTCCATTGTGTGTGTGTGTGTGCATGTGTGTGTAGACACACAGACATCTTTTGTACCTATTCATCTACTGAACACTTAGGTTGCTTCCATATCTTGGTTATTGTAAATAATGTTGCTATGAATATTGGGGTGTACTCATGCTTTGTTTTCTTCAGATTATATACCCTGGAAGAGAATTGATGGGTCATATGATAGTTCTATTTTTAGTTTTTAAAGGAACTTTCATAACATTCTCCATAGGAGTTGCACCAATTTATATTCCCACAAACAGTGTATGTTTTTTTTTTTCCTTTTTCTCCACATCTTTGGTAGCATTTGTAATTTGTGGTCTTTTTGATGACAGCCATTCTGACAGATCTCAGGTGATATCTCATTGTGGATTTTTTAAAAAATAATTTTACTTAATTATTTGACTGTGCTGGGTCTTTGTTGCTGCACGGGCTTTTCTCTAGTTGTGGCAAGCGTGGGTTACTCTCTAGATGTCGTGTACAGGCGTCTCACTGCAGCAGCTTCTCTCGTTGTGGAGCACAGGCTCTAGAGTGTTTGGGCTTCAGCAGTTGGGGCACATGGGCTTAGCTGATCCTCGACTTCTAGGATCTTCCTGGACCAGGAATCAAATCCATATCTCCTGCATTGGCAGGTGGATTCTTTACCACTGAGCCACCAGGGAGGCCCTCATTGCAGTTTTGATTTGCATTTCTCTAATAATCACTGATGCTGAGTATCTTTTCATTTGCCTGTTGGCCATCTGTTTATCTTCTTTGGAAAAACGTTTATTTGGGTCCTTTGCCCATTTTTTAATTGGGCTTTCAAAGTCCCTGATGCTGGGAAAGATTGAGGGCAGAAGGAAAAGAGGGCATCAGAGGATGTGATGGCTGGATGGGCTCACCAATGCAATAGACATGAATTTGGGCAAACTTTGGGAGATGGTGAGGGACAGGGAGGCCTGGTGTGCTGCAGTCCATGGGGTTGCAAAGAGTTGGACATGACTGAGCGCACACAAATACACACACACACACACAAGCGTGGCAGGAACAGGGAGGAAAGAAAGAGTAGAAAACAAATACAATCTACTAGTGAAAAACCTCTAGTGATAGGGTGATTAAGACACTTTTAAGAATAGATATGCCCAATATCAAATTTGAAGTTGTTTGCATTTCTGTGTGGTAAACTCCCTTCCTTTGATTTGCCTGTTATGTGAGCAAATAGCTGGTGCAAGTGGCATCTGTAAAAATTCAGGAAAAGATTTGAGTGTTAACTCTGGGTAAGCATTGTATAGAACAGCACAACAGGTTAAGAAATCTAGTTGATCCCGACGCTGAATGAATCTAGTAGGAGCAGAGAACCAGAACTGACCTTAAGAAGACAGGCCCTCTGGGAATGTGCAGAAATCTTGGGGAGGACATTGATCTTTCCATAATTCATAAAAGTGAGATCTTAAGCAATCCTAGTTAGATCTTACAGAGCAGAGTGTCTCTCTGGAATCAAATCTCAGAAGTGTAATTACTGATCAAAGGGCATGAACGTTTTTTGGCTCCTTATGAATAATGTTGAATTGAATCATGACATAAAGTTCAAATAGACATTTAGGATTTTTCTACTTTAAACTGTCAGCCATATTAAATAAAAAAAAAAAAGAAAGAAAGAAAAATGTGGAACAAGCTTTGGGAATAAAAAATATATAGAAGCAGATGCAGTTACTGAATTAAAATGCTCACTGAAAATAACTATGTTCTGAGAAATTTTACGTTTAAATTTGAAATTTCCTGATTCAGTGTTAATTCCCTACAGCTCGGCAGTTAAACTTTACCTTCAGTCTCAGGGAACCCAGGATGCGTGGTAGTCAAACTAGGTAGGAAATGGGGGCCATCTACACCAGACCTGAACTTGGAGAGGATGAAGGTGTCTTCCTTAAAGTTACCTAATGTCTTTGGTTACAAAGTAGAACCTGAGTGAGTCTCTTGTTTAAGTGGTTTAGTGAGGATGTGTTCTCAAGTGAAGGGCGGGGGCGGGGGTGGGGTAGTGAGCAAAGCAGGGCAAAGTCGAAGAAGACCACTAAACAGGAATGTGGTGTCCAGCAAAGGCTGACTTCAGCCTGATCCCACAAGGAGCTCTAAAATAGGAACCGCATCAGACCTGTTCCTCCTTGAGGTGAGGGATCAGTCTTCTGAACCTCCACACAAGTGAGATGGCAATTCTTTCCTAAAGCAGGTCTCAAAATTAGGGTGCATCAGAATTACCTGGGGGACTTGTTAAAACAGACTGCTGGGCAGACTTCCAGAGTTTCTGATTCAGTAGATCTGAGGTAGGGACTAGCAAATCTGTATTTCTAACATGTTCCCAGGTATTGGGGGTGCTGCTGGTCTAGGAACCACACATTGAGAACTGCTGTTCTACAGAAGAGGACACTTGTGAGGTTTCAGCAGCCAACACTCACAGCACCCAGGAGAGATCTGAGAGGCATCGACTTCGAGTACCAATGGTGGCATCTTCCTTATGAAGGCAGACACCAGGGCTAGAAGACTGGACCACAAGCTGAGGCTGGATGGATTACATTTTTAGGTCTGACTGTCTAGATTCATAACAACATCCTATTACTTTCCTGCTGTCATCCCGCATCTCCAGCCAGCCAAAGCATGGTTGAAACATTCCAACTCATCTCCACATTGCTGTTAGACTCCAGGGAAGGGCCTGGCAGGTACATGAGACTTTAAAGAGGAAACAGTGGCACCTCAGTAGGCAAGTACAGTGGAGTCAGTTGCCATGGATGGAAAGAACCTCAAGAGGGAAGCAAATATTTGGTGGCAAAACTCAACTAGACCACCATGGAAATTTCTGATGTCTATTTGGTTTTTTGTTTAAATTTTATTTATTTGTTTTTAGCTGTACTGTGTCTTCATTGTGCACTGGCTTTCCCTGGTTGCGGCAAGCTGGGGGGTGGGCTACTCCCCAGCTTTCGTGGGCAGACTTCTCATTGGGCTGGTTTCTCTGGGTGCTGAGCAGACCTCCGGAGTGGCGGACTCAGTAGTTCTGGCCCACAGGCTTAGCTGCCTTGCAGCATGTGGAATATTCCCAGACCAGGGGTCAAACCCACGTCCCCTACATTGGGCAGGTGGATTCTTAACCACTGGACCATTAGGGAACTTCTGTTTTTTGTTTTTGTTTTGTTTTGTTTTTAATTTAAAGGAAGATGACACTTAAAGGCAACTTTTAATTTCATACTTCCCACCAGAGCCCATAACAAAGAGCCCCGGCCCCTGGGGATCACCACCAGCTGAAGCTGAATGTATAGAAGTAGTCGGAGACCTTGGCTGGTAACGGACTGTTGTGTGAATAGCATACCTGGTACCCTTGGGCCTTAATGTCCATGTTCAGGCACTCCAGGAGGTCACTGATATCCAGGGCTGCCTTCCAAGGCCCGAATTTGACCACTGACCTTTTGTTCGCCTCCAGGGAGCGCAGGGCGTCTGCGCAGTTTGCGTCCTCCTTTTCGTTTCGTACCAGGCACACCAGGACTCGGGAGCAGCGCGCCGCCACCGCCTCGGCGCGCGCCAGGCGCACCATGAGCTCCAGGTTCTCGCTGTATCCGGGCACCTGCAGCAGGAACTGCTTCCGCGCCACCTCCTCGCCGAAGATCTGCGGCGTGTCCTCCAGGTATTTGATCAAGGGCCTGATCTCGTAGTACTGAGCCTCGAGGTACACCTCCGGGATGTGCTGGGTGGGCAGCTGCCCACTGCGCAGATATTCCAGGATGGGTCCAAAGTAGGTGCCGCAGCGATCGATGAAGAAGCGTCCCTCGGCATCCAGGCAGGCCTTGGCGGGGCTGGAGAACATCTCTGCCAGCTTTGAGCCTGGGAACTTCCTCAGGGTGCCCAAGGTGGTGGTATAGAACTCACCCCCCACGTTCAGGTCCACGACCGGAGATTCCTGGGGGGCACAAGAGGCGGAATAACCAACAGCGGCACCTCCGGGGAGCTCATGATTCATTTTCATCCAAAGAATAATACCCTACAGAATTTAGGGGAGCCGTAAGAATTGGCTTCAGCTTACTGGAATGTCCATCTTACAGGAAAGGGGTTCTATTTATGTTGTAGAGCTACAGAGAGTAGGCATTTTAAGGAAGGAAAATATTTTGGTTTGAAATAAGAATACCGAATTTCAAGCATTTGCATTTTCTCATTTAGGTCACAGAATATTAGTGGAGGAAGCTGCTGTGGAAGCAAGTTGCAGGGAGAATATGCTAAAGTGTGTGGCCTGTGGCAAGACTTTTCCCCTCCCTAGACCTCAGATTCCTTATTCATAAAATAAGGATTTGGAGCTTTTGTGACATGAGGTCCTGACAGGAATGCTTAGATATAAGACATAGTTGTGCTTTTTTTTTTTTTTTTTTTAAGGCATCGGGAAAAGGGAGAAATACATTTTCAACCTTTTAGAAAGGTTAAAGAAACCATACATGAATTCAGTCCAGGAATCATTTCTTTGGTACTTACTGTGTGTTCACATCCTGTGCTGGGAATGGTGATAAAAATTCTTATTTCATATAAATCAGAAGTTCTGGCTAGCAGTTGGCATGACATTAACAGAATTTGTTTGATGGGTACTTTTTCAAAATAAGGGCCCATGGGATTAAATAACAGGAATATCCTTGGTGGTGACAAGGTCAGTAAAACCAAATATAACAGGTGTAAAAATGCCTCATAAATAGTAACGTATGGTGCAAATATAAATTAGATTTAGCTGTTCATCAGAATTTTTAGAGGCCTCTTCTCTCAGGCTGAGCACTAAGAATGTGGGTAAGACCTATGCGGTATCTGCCTGGAGATGCCCACAGGCCAACATAGACAGGGACTTAGACATAGAAAAGAGACTGAGAGTCAGGCTTCATTTGGGGGATATTAAGTGCTGCCCCACAGACCTAACAAAAATACCTGAATACTCCATTAGTGATTATTACACATGGGGTGATACATCAGTTATTACCCTACAAACCAGCTTCCTGAACACCTTTCATCATTTAAGATCCATTCAATAAAACATGTATGCACCTACTTTGTGTCAGGCAGCTGGAACAAGAGGAACAAGCAGACCTCCCTTCACAGGCTTCTAACTGTGCAAAGTTACTAACTCCACCTTCACACCAATCCTATGAAGAACATATTAAATCCCCATTTTCCAGATGAAGAAACTAAGGAAGTGAAGTTTAAGTTGCTTAAGATCAACCAGTTATGAAGTGATAATGTCACAGGATTTGAACTCAGATCTGACTTACCCTGAAGCTTGCACTTAGTCATTACAGAAGTTAATTTCCAACCTTGGAACACCTCCACTCTTCATTTCCCAGTCATCCAACAAAATGTAGGAAGAACCTATTCCACCCAAGCCTTCTCTGAAGCAGATGAACATGAGTTTCTGCCCTTGAGGAGCTCACAGGGGAGAGAAGGAGGCAGATGGTTTCGATGTGCAGGTGCTGAGGGGGAAGGCTCAAAGGTAAAAGTGATTGGCTCCTTCTGTGGACGAGGGCTGGAGGTTGTCAGGGAAGGTCTCCTAGGGGATGCGATGGCTGTGGGTGTGGAAAAGATCTGCAGTGTTGGGGGGGGAAGCTGGATTTCCAAACTGGAGACTTGACTACAGGTCATTGCAGGGCCAGGGGAATAGGAATGTCCTTCAGTCTGATTGAGGTGTGACTTCCTTTTCAACTTGTCTGTGGGCTCTACCTCTAAGATTAAAGTACGGGAATTAAGAGAGCTCAAGGCAGCCAGATTTCGGGGGAAGAACCAGGTTGCCATAGCAACAGTTCCTACCCAGGGACAGTTATGCTCGCTGGAACGGAGAGGGGAGAAAAGAGGATGCATTCTGACAGCAGCCAAACAATTCAGCCTTGAGAAAAATAAGCCTAGAACCTGTGACTCTCTCCTTTTCCCATAAACCTCCAGGCTCCTTGGCAAGGGTGTTTGGTTAACCTAAAGGTGGTTCTGTAAAGCAGGCAGTTAAGTGAGAAGTTGCAGACTCTAACCCCTGAGTGGGTTGGTGATGGGTTCTTCCCACTCCTCTACCACTGAAAGCTCACAGGTGCTCTTAATATCCCCACATTGCAGGTAAGGAAAGCTCAGAGAGAAGGCTCACCCAGTCAGGAAGTGAGAAAGTCGCTGTGCTGTGTTATAAGTTGCTTCAGTCTTGTCTGACTCTTTGCGACCCCACTGACTGTAGCCCATCAGGCTCCTTGGCCCATGGGATTCTCCAGGCAAGAATACTGGAGTGAGTTGCCGTGCCTTGCTCCAGGGGATCTTCTTGGTCCAGGGATTGTATACTGGAGTGAGTTGCCGTGCCTTGCTCCAGGGGATTTTCTTGATCCAGGGATTGAATACTGGAGTGAGTTGCCGTGCCTTGCTCCAGGGGATTTTCTTGATCCAGGGATTTTCTTGATCCAGGGATTGAATTTATGTCTCCTGCATTGGCAGGTGGGTTTTTTACCACTAGCGCCACCTGGTGTAAGTGGCAGCTGGGATCAAATCCGTGTCAGTCTGACTGAGGACAGTATGCGTGCTCTACTCCCACCCTCCCAACATCCAGTCCCACTGCTGCCAAGTTATTAGCTATGTTCCTGGGACATCTCACTTCCTTCTCCAGGCTTGAGTGTGTTAGTCGCTCAGTCATGTCTGACTCTTCGTGACCCCATGGATTGGGGCCCACCAGGCTCCTCCATCCATGGGATTTTTCCAGGCAAGAATACAGGAGTAGGTTGCCATTCCCTTCTCCAGGGGATCTTCCCAACCCAGGGATTGAACCTGGGTCTCCTGCATAGCAGGTAGACTCTTTACCGTCTGAGCCACTCTGAGCTTAAGCTTAGTCATCTATGATATAGGGAGGCAAAATGGATGAAGAGAACTCTGAGTTTCTTCAGCTCTGAAAGTTTAATGAATCCAATTACTTCAAATGTTGTTTCTGAAGCTCATTTCCAGATACTAAACAAAATAGTCCCCTGCCCTGATATCTTCACCCCCATCTCTTTATCACCCAAGACCTGGGCCCTGTCCCCAAGCTTCTTAATTCTGTCCCTTTTCCCTCCTTGTTTTCTAAAGACACCAAACCTCTTTGGGAATCCCAAACCTCCTACGTCATTCATGAATACTGCTGTATTTGTTTCTAGCAGATAAAGACTTCTTTCTCATCCCTCTTCTAGACTACCAGCCCTTCCTCACAGTCCCTCTTCCCCACCTGTTCTACCCAGTCACCCCGGTGAAGCATTCCTCGATGAGCAAGCTTGACCTGTGTGCAGGGGCTGGGGAAATGTGGGTATCAGGCTAGTGCTGGTACACAAGGATGAATCAGACAGGCCCAACTCTAACCCCACCAAACATTCATATGTTTCCTTAGGTCACTCTTAGTCTAGTCAGTGGAGGGACATCTCCAGTCATACATCCCCAAGCCCCAAGATCTCTCCCCACACCACAACTTGGACATTTTCCCACTGCGTCCTATCTCAGTCATCTGAGCCAGAAACCTAGACTGTAATCTTGCACTCTGCTCATGTTCTCAACCTCCCCCACACACAGGTGATAAGTCACTAAATCCTGGTGATTCTAAATGCCTGGTCAGATCCACAGCTCCTGGCTCCCTGGAATGTCCTCACCCAATCTGATATCAACTCTGAAATCAGAGCAGTTTCTCTGAAGAGCAAATCTGATCTAGTCACCACCTGCATTAACCACTTCAGTGATCCCACATCTCTGTAAAGGTAAACTCCAGACTCCTTAACAAGGTTTACAAGACCCTTTGTAACCCTGACAATCAACTAGCAGAGCCACCTGCTGGTCTCCCATTAGGAACCAACCAGAGCACGCTGGGCCCCACTGTCCGCAGGCGTTCACTCCGCTTACCACCCACTGTCCCGTCACTCAGCCTTCAAGTTAATTGCTCCTGGAATTTTCTGGATGGGTTGTCTGCTTGTGACTTCAGAGGCCCGTGTACTTCCCCCGTCATGGTAGTTATCTCTCTCTTGTAGTTTTGTTCCTTCATCTGAATTCCCCACTAGCGTGGAAGGCTCCTAAGGGAGGATTATCCCAGATTCATCTTCACGTTACCAGTACATACGGCAGGGCTCCCCACAGGAGGGTGCTCAACGTGTCTGTTGAATTGAACCGCACTTACCCTCAGCGCTGACTTACAGGAGCGCCTGGGGTTCTAATAAAGGCCAGTCTTGGCCTACTTCGCATCAAGCGCCGCCCTGGCTTCCTCCCTCTTCTGATAATTAATTCAGACATTTATTGGGCACCTTGGGTCGCAACGCCTCTGATCAGGTGACTTTGTCAACAGCCAACAACAATGAGGCTGTCATCACCTAACTGGTAAATGCCAAAGTCGCCCCACGGCTGGGGCTGCTTTCCCTTCCTACAAGCCTTGGAGATGGCACCTAGCCAGGGAGAGCTGAGAAAGTTCTGATAGTAGAGTGCGCTGGGCTTTTTCTTGACAGTCCCCTTCGGTGCACACTCCCCCCTTCTCCCCACCCCCAGTCCTGGGAGGAAACAGGCGCAAGCAGGAAGACTCAGGAGCCAGCCAGAGGGCAGGGGTTCAGGTTGCAGAAGGGGTGCGGTGGGGTGGGGGTGAGGGGACGGAATTCCGGCCCGTCCCCACTGGGGCTTCTCCCACCCGCAGGAGGGTTGGGGCAGGGAAGGAGGAGGGGCGAGCCCGAGGGGCTGCGAGGCGAGACACGGAGCAGACGGGGAGGAGACCAAAGGCAGCCAAGCCGGGAAGAGGGCCACGAGGAGCGGCCGGACCGAGCCGGAGCCGGAGCCGGTACCGAGAGCGGGGCGCCGCAGGAGAGATCGAAGCGGCAGCCGCAAGCCGAGAGGGGCGCGCCCGAAGCAGGGGAACCCAGACCTGCGGGCAGGGAAGGGTTAGAGGGCCCTGGAAGGAGTGAGGAAAGGGAGGGCCGCGGGCCCGGAGCCGGGCGGCTCTGCACGCCCGCTGCGGGCTTCGCACTCACCGTACGTCTGCCCGCGGGGGGCGCGGTCCGGCCGCTCGGCCGGGAGTCGGGCGCTGAGGTCAGGCTCATCTCTCCCGGTCCAGCGGGCGCTGGCCCGAGCAGGGTACTTGTGGCCGGCCGAAGTGTACCTGGCTCCCGCCCGGGGGTGGGGGAATCCTACCCAGGGTGTGGTGAGAACCCTGATTGGGCTGCAGTTGGCGGTGACACCTTAGGCTGGTCACTGCCCCTCTCTTGTCTGGGTTTCTGGACAACCAAATGGGGAAGGGAGAGGGAACTGACGTTGACGCCCTGGACACTATCCACTCACTACAGCCCTGGGGGTGAAGGATGAGAAACACCCATTTTACAGGTAAGAAAAGTGAGTCACCAGGGGAGAGTGGATTATATAGTCACCTGAGATCAGCTGCTGAAAGTGCAGCACATGCTAGGTACCTGCTGTGTGTTATTTTGCTGGTAAAACATAATCCTGGTGATCCGGGATTATTAATATATTATTATTTAAAGAATCTGTCTGCCGATGCAGAGAACCTGGGTTCAATCCCTAGGCACCCCCTGGTCCGGGAAGATTCTACATACCCCGTGGCACCTAAGCCCAGGGGCCACAACTAAGCAAAAGATTTATTTACTGTACTCTGGAGCTTGTGAACTGCAATTGCTGGAGCCCACGGGCACTAGAAGTCCTCCCGTCCCAGCTAGAGAATACCCCCCTCCCCCAGCAACTAGAGAAAGACCTTGCGCAGCCACCAAGACCCAGTGCAGCCAAAAATAAATAAATAAAACTTTAAAAAATTAAAAAGAACTATTAAAAAAAATAATCCTTATGAAGCGGGGCATAACTCTTATATAGTACAGGCCTGCAGAATGACCTTCCAAAGAGGAAAGAGAGGGGAATAGAAGAGTAAATGCACAGTGGAGAAAATGACAGAGACAACTTTGCCAGGTGATTATCCAGGTGATCAAGGTCAGCAGCAGGAGTCAGAAATTATGATGATGATGTGTATCCTTGATAGAGTGTGATGAAAATGGCACTTTGTCTCGGTGATCCTCTTCTCCAAAACCCATGCATCCATGCATGTTAAGTCACTTCAGTTGTGTCCAACTCTTTGCAACCCCATGGACGGTAGCCCACCAGGCTCCTCTGTCCATGGGATTCTCCAGGCAAGAATACTGGAGTGGGGGGCCATGTCATCTTCCAGGGGATCTCCCCGATCAAACTGGGTGTCTCTTGTGTCTCCTGCATTGGCAGACAGATTCTTTACCACTGCACCACTTGGGAAGCCCCTCATGATTTATTAAGCAATTAAAAACAAACATCAGAGCAGTGTATACTATGGGAATTCAGTAAAGACATAAACATAAACCTCATATAAATGTATATCTATTTATGTGAACATATGGGCTTCCCTGATGGCTTAATGGGTAAAGAATCTGCCTACAATGCAAGAGATACAGGAGATGTGGGTTCAGTCCCTGCATCAGGAAGATCCCCTGAAGGAGGGCATGGCAACCCACTCCAGTATTGTTGCCTGAAAAATCCCATGGATAGAGGAACCTGGCAGGCTACAGTCCAAAGGGTCACAAAGAGCCAGACATGGCTGAGCACAAGGACACACATGTGAACGTATACTTAGAAAAGTGTAGAAGGATGCACAGTGGATGTTACTGTTGGTTATTCTGTACAAATGGGATAGAAATAGAGAGGGGAAATTATTGATTAAGAAATGGTTTTCTTGGGCTTCCCTGGTGGCGTTCAGTGGTAAAGAATCATCTGCTAGTTCAGGAGACACAGGTTTGATCCCTGATCCTGGAAGATTCCACATGCCACAGAGCAGCTGAGCTGTGTGCCACAACTACTGAGCCTGTGCTCTAGAGCCCAGAAGCCACAACTTCTGAAGCTCTCATGTCCCAGAGCCTGTGCTCCACAAGAGAAGTCACTGCAATGTATTGTGTACACCACAACTAGAGAGTAGCCCCTGCTTGCTGCAACTAGAGAAAAGCCCACACAGCATCGAAGACCTAGCTCAGTCAAAACAAGCAAATAAATCTGTAAAAAAGAAATGCTTTTCTTAATACATATTTATATTATGCCACTAGTTGCAGTGAACATGAAAAAGTATGAAAGAGCGAAACAAAAGAAAACACAATAACATAGGACAAGCGCAAGGCAGCCCAAGAGGAAGTCAGCTTTCCAGTTTGAAGGGTCTGGAAAGGCTTCATGGAAGAGCTGGCCCATGAGCTGGGTCTTGAAGCGCAGAAAGCTTTGTTGAGAGAAGCCTGCTAGGGACTCCTCCTAGCAGAGGGGTCAGCTGTGCCAGAGAAAGGAGGGAAATGAAAATGATCATGTGTTGAGCACCCGTACTGAACACAGGTTCTTGTATAAGTTCTTCCAAGCAGTTAGACTTACTCTACAGATGAGGGAACCGAGGCTCAGGGAAGTTCAGTGAATGGCTAAAAGGCCACACAGCTGGTAATAGACAGAACCAAGCTTAAACTCCATGTTTTTCTCACTCCAGAATTCTATGACTGTAAAGAATTGCTTTGTATCTGGGTGCTATGGTCTGAACATTTGTCTCCCTCCAAAAGTCACACTGAGACCTAATCATCAATGTGATGATGTTAGGTGGTGCCTTTGGGAGATGATTAAGTCATCTTAATCCCATCACAATGGGATTAGTGCTCTTATAAAAGAGACCCCCCCCCCTTATAAAAGGGAGCTCTCTGGCTCCTTCCTTCCACCATATGAGGACTCAGAAAGAAGATGGCCATCAGACACCAGGTCCACTGGCAACATGATCTTCTACTTCCTAACTTCCAGAATGGTGTGAAATAAATGTTCCTTATAAACCACTCAATTTCCAGTATTTTTGTCATAGCAGCCTGGATGGACTGAGACACTGGGTATGAGTGTGTACCTTAAATACTATGACTTGCAAATGGGATTGAGCCATGGGGAGGCAGCTGTGACCTCCTCAAAGCAGGCCTCCCTGCCTGCTGCATCTGGGTTAGGGAGCCTCCCGTGGGCCAGGCCGGCTCTGCCCAGCACATGAAACCCCTTCCCCTCACATTGTCTGACTCCTCCCAGAGGGCTGATCAGCTGTATGGGCCAGGATGATTCCATGGGGAGGCTGAGTTCTGAAAGGTCATCACCACAGAAAGGAGGGCTGGACACTTGGAGGGGCAGTGGGCACTTCTGACAGCATCAAGAAGCCTGGGCCCCATTTCCGGTTTCTCCTCCAGCTCCAGCTGCCCTGAAACAACCTACATTCCTATACTTTCTTGAACTTTGTTTATGCTGTTCCTTGTGCTCAGAATGCCTTTCCTCACCAGTTCCTTCTCTGGAAAACTCCTACACAGCCTTCAAGACCCAAGTCAAATAGCCCTCTTCTTCCTTTTATATACATTAGCACATTTGACCCTCACCATTCAAAATAGGAATTAGCACCTCTATTTTACGTATGAGAACCCCAGGGGTCCCAGAGGTGAAGTGCTTCTTTCAGAATCCTTCAGCACCAGGGCACAAGAGATTGACCAGGTTTCCAGCTGTGGCTCTGCCATTCACGTGTAACCTTGGCCAGGTCCCTGCCCGTCTCTGGGCCTCAGTTCTCCACCTGTAACATGGTGGGGGCTGGGATATTGTTTGAGACCGTCTCTGTGAAACGGTCTTGCTTAATGCTATGGCAACAAAGGAATTCAAACAGTACCTTGGTGTTGCCTAGAACTGGATCTTGTTTCCTTTGGCCTGAATCCAAGAGCAAGCACTGCCTCCCTCTGCCCTCCTCTTTGTTCTTCTTCCTGAGACAAAGCTGCCAGCCCCTCTCCTCTCCAGGCTGCTGGGCTTCGGGCCAGCCAGCCAAGTGGCAGCTGGGACTCAGATGAAAGGGCCCTCACAGGGCCGCCTGTGGCAGAGTGCCCAACCCAGCCCAGCCAGGCCTGGCAGCCCTGGGCCCAGCTGTCGTCCGAAGCATCCTGCCACCACTCCTACACAAGGCTCCCTTTGTGAGTTCTGCAGTGGGGGAGACCCCTGCCAACCCACAAGGACCCTCTTCCCTTCCCTCCGCCCTAGGCCCTTTGAGGAATATCCAGGTCTTTACAGAATGGTCCAGAACTGAACTGGACTGGTCTGACTTTGGGCCAGGTTCTTTGGAGAGTTTTATTTCATCTTCAGAACAAATAGCAGGTAGTGCTATCCCCCTTTAGAGATGGGGAAGCAGATACCTGAGGGCCTTCTATGTGTCAATCATGGTGTCAGGTACTGGGAGTTGGACAAGGGCCTGTCTTCCTTCCCTCATTCCTTTCCTTCTTTCTTTTCTGAACACTCTCTAGGAGTGTTTCTTATTTATTTATTTATTTTTAAAGAAGTCATGAGAATTCCCTGGTGGTCCAGTGGTTAGGACTCTGTGCTTCCACTGCAGGGGGCACAGGTTTGATCCTTGGTCAGGGAACTAAGATCCCAAAAGCTGAGCAACACGGCCAAACAAATAGAATACAATAAAAGTAAATAAGTTTTTAAAAATTAAAAATAAATTAATTTATTTATTTATCAATTTATTTTTGGCTGTGCTGGGTCCTCGTTACTACACACAGGCTTTCTCTAGTTCTGGAGAGCAAGGGCCGCTCTCTAGCTGCAGCCCTTCTGCATGAGCTTCTCATTGCAGTGGCTTCTCTTGTTGCACAGCACAGGCTTTAGGTGCACGGGCTTCAGCGCTGCGCCATGGGGACTCGGTAGGTGCAGTTTCTTGGTCTCTGGAGCACAGGCTGAGTAATTGTGGTACGTGGGCTTGGTTGCTCTTCAGCATGTGAAAACTTCCCAGACCAGGGATCGAACCCATGTCCCCTGCACTGGCCGGCAGATTCTTATCCTCTGCGCCACCAGGGAAGTCCTGATGTTCTTTTTCATAACACATTGTGCTTCTCTTTCACGACGTGTATATGTTTGTTTATTGAATGTCTCTCTCTCGTTAGATTCTAAGCTCCATAACAGAAGCCAGTCTCCATACCGGTTTTGTTCACCACTCTCTTCCCAGCACCTAGCATAGCTGCCTGCTTTACACCAGGCCCCAGATAAATAT